TACTCTGCTGAAACAGCAAGACCTGCTGATGTCATCCAGTAGTGTTAGAGGGCAACCTATGGTTTCTTGTGACGAATTGATCACTCTCTGTAGTGCCTTCCTGTCCGCAGCTGTTAAACCAGCATACCATACTGTTATACAGTATGTGAGGACACTTTCTACCATGGACTGATATAAAGAAGTCATCAGCCATTGTTTCACCTGATTTTTCTATAGGACTCTAAAGAAATGAAGTCTGTTGAACCTTACTAATCACCAGGGACATGTTGTTTTTCCACATGAGATCTTGACTAATGAGCACTCCCAAGAATTTAAAAGAGGAAACTCTCTCCACACAGCCCCCCTTTATATATAGTGGGGCAGGTTCCTCTCTGTGCTTCTGGAAGAGCACCATCTCTTTTGTCTTGTTAGTATTTAGATGTAGGTTGTTTTTTGAACACAAAAGACAATACCTTCTGGACTTCTTCCCTGTATGTTGATTCATCCCCTCTAGTTATAAGCCCCAGCACCATTGTGTCGTCTGCAAACTTTATTATGATATTGGATGGATCAGAGGATATGCAGTCATATGTATATAGCAAGTACAGGTAGGGGCTGAGCACACAGCCCTGAGGGGAGCCTGTGCTGAGCTTCAGCGTGGAAGATGTAAAGGACCCAACCCTTATAGTTTGTGGGCGGTCCATCAGGAAGTCTTTGACCCAGTCACAAGTGAGGGGAGGGAAATTCAGGTCAGTCAACTTTTCAATGAGAATTTCTGATAAGATGGTGTTGAAGGCCAAGGTATAGTCTATAAAAAACATTCTGGCATCATTCCCAGATTTCTCAAGATGTTTCAGTGCAGTATGTAGAGCAGTGGTGATGGTGTCTTCTGTTTGTTTGTTTGTTTGTTTGTTTGTTTATTTTTATTTGTTTATTTGTTTATTTGTTTATTTATTTATAGGGTTTGTATGCCGCCCACTCTCGAGAGACTCAGGGTGGCTTACAGATAAAAGGGAAGGGGGAACATACACAAAATTAAAAAAACAACATTAAAATTCCACAACATTCATAGCTTAGGATGGGGCTGGATGAATCAACAGCCAGAACAGCCAGGTCTTGGTCGCTTTGCGGAAGGCCGGAAGGGTAGTAAGGGTCCAGATCTCCACGGGAAGATCGTTTCATAGGGCCAGAGCAGCTACAGAGAAGGCCCTCTCCCGGGGAGTCACCAGCTGACATTGACCGGCAGATGGAATCCGGAGGAGGCCTAGTCTGTGTGATCTTCTGGGTCTCTGGGAGCTAAATGGCAGGAGGCGGTCTCTCAGGTAGCCAGGTCCTATACCATGTAAGGCTTTAAAAATAACGACTAGCACCTTGAAGTGTGTCCAGAGACCAATGGGAAGCCAGTGCAGCTCGCGGAGGATAGGTGTAACGTGTGTGTACCTAGGTACGCCCACTATCACTCGTGCGACTGCATTCTGGACTAACTGAAGTCTTTGAACACTCTTCAAGGGCAGCCCCATGTAGAACGCATTACAGTAATCCAGTCTTGAGGTGATGAGGGTGTGAGTGACCATCCGAAGGGCCTCCCGGTCCAGATAGGGTCGCAACTGGTGCACCAGGAGAACCTGGGCAAAGGCCCCCCCTGGTCACAGCTGACAAGTGATGTTCTAGCGTCAGCTGCGGATCCAGGAGGACTCCCAAATTGTGAACCCTCTCTGAGGGGCGTCTAGTTTCACCCCCCCCCCCAGGCTAAGAGATGGAATAGCTGGACCATCCTTGGGAGGTTGACCTGTTTCTATAAGCAAACTGGTGTTGATCGAAATTTGGTGAAAGAAAGGACCTGAGGTTTGTAGGACCAGTCTTTCAAAGCACTTCATCACTATAGATGTCAGTACAATTGGTCTATAGTCATTCAGGTTGTTTATGGCTGCTTTCTTCGGAACTGGGATGATTGTGGCTGCTTTCAAGCTTGATGGAACTTTAGCCAATTGCAGAAAGATGTTAAAAATACTTGTCAGGATCCCTGTTAATTGGTCAGCACAGGTTTTTACCACTTTCCCCAGCCCCCCCCCCCACCCAACCTGGACTTGCAGCTTTGTTGGGATTTACAGCCTTCAGCATAGCTCTCACTTGATGTTCATCCAGGGTGAGTGGCTGGAGGTTAGAGGGCCTTTGGGCTAGAGCCACAGAGACTGATCTTTTGACCTCAAAGTGGGTGAAGAAGCTATTCAGCTCCTCCACCAGCAGGGCATCAGCATTGGCTATTTTCATCGTATTTCCCTTATAATTGGTTAGATGTTGTAGCCCTTGCCACACCTGTCTTGGGTTATTATCTGCCAGATGCTTCTCTACTTTTTGTTTGTATTTCTGTTTAGCTGCCTTAATGCCTCTCCTCAAGTTTGCCCTGGCCTCATTGTATTCATCTTTTTACCTGTCTTGAAGGTGGAGTTTCGGGCTCTCAGAAGTGATTGTACCNTTCTAGTATTGTATTGTATTAAGAGTCCATTTTTGAAGGCTTGATCACTTGAGAGCTAGGATGGTATAGGTATGGGAGAGATACTTACTTAACATAGACGAGGCTTGGACATTCCTCAATGAGTCTTGCCACATATTTTGCTCCAATATCAGTAATCTGGTTGTTGTATAAGCTTTGGAAGGAATAATAGCAGTTGGGTATTAACTAAGTTAATTACATCAAATACGTATAGCAAGCTATAGTATATGAACAGGGAGCAAATCTCACTCTCTAGCACTGATAATATTATTACTTAGTTGGGTAATGAAATACCTGCAAGCAAATAATTAAGCTCAGAGAACATCAATGATTCCACTGTTCACTCCTGATATAGTGTGTGTGTGTGTGTGTGTGTGTATAAATTATATATATAATATATATAATAAATAAAACTTGAATGGGTTATTAACATGTAGTGATTCAGGCATTGCACCTCTGCCTAGTTTTCCTAGGGCTCTTCAATTCATCTCTATTCAATAACTTTCCAACTGTTATTCTATTATTTCATGATGCTGCATTAAATATAAAAGTTCTAAAGGCAGGATATAACTAACTAATTAACTATGTGCTGATAGCAATCAAGTAATGGAGCAAATGATCTGGCAATGATCTAGATGTGGAAGTCATTACTCTTTCATGTTACTCCCCTTGATAATTGGAACACGCCCTTCACACAATGAATATCTGAGCTCGTCCTTTGTACATACCCCAAATAAGACACAATTTTGAATTTGGATAGCTCCTCGTAAAGCACTCTCACACCTTGATCTGTGATCTGGTTCACGCTCACCCTAAAGTAAAAGAAAGATGTGATAAAGTAGCTGGTTCACAGCACCATATATATTGAAGTATGAGCCTTTTAATTCAAAGAAGCATCAGCGGATTTAGCTTTCTTTGTAATACCATCAATGTTTGAAAACAGAACAAAATGGCCTCTTTCTTTTCTCCTTCACTAACTGAAGCAATTTATCCATAAATAAATAAAAATCTCTAAAAGAAACTGATTATAATTCCTACAAGTAATATTTTATGGATTCCTAGAATTACTCAAAGGACAATTTTATCAGCACTGTGTAGATGAGAGGGTGAAAAAAGGAAGGATGAAGAGTCTGCTCCCTGATTCTTTCAAGGAGAAATAGCTTCTTTCCTTATATCAGTTCCTATTATATCATTGTGTTACTGTACCTGAGTACTGCCAGATGGCTAAAGCAAGGTTGCAGCTGCTTGATCCCATAATCATTGATGTTGTTATTGTCCAGATCAAGGGCCAAGTGTTTCTGGAAATGATGCATAACAAAGGAGATGGCACTGCAATCAGCGGAGTAGGCATTGCAGTAAGTCAGTTTGATGTAGTTGGCACGCATGCATTTGGCAACCCCTTTACCAACTTTCTCACTCTGTGTCTCATAGATGCATCTCAGCATCCAAACAAAGTTTGGCATTACTTGAACCTGTCTGTATTCTTTCAGCCTTGCCCGAGAGAGACCCTTCAGGTGAGACTTCATGCTTTCAAAAAAATAGGCAAGAAGAATCCTCCTTTTCTTCTTGACTGTACTGAGAGGAATCAGATGCCTCAAGAGTTTCTGCCTTGCCTTGGAAAGCAACCCACACAAGAAGAGATTAGTAAAATGAAAGTGCTCTTTATTTCGGAAAGGATCTCCTCCTGTTGGGTGGTAATTTTTTAACCAGGAAAGAGGCAAGCAGGAAGACAGAGTACTGTCTTGCATGGAGCATTCAGCAAAGAACTGCAGCAAATCCCTGGCCCCCACTTTCTCATTTGTTACCAGATAAAAAGCTGCGAAAAATGACTGCAGGGTCAAGTGCAGGAATTCATAGCAAGATTGGTCTGCAGTACCTTCATAATTAGGAACTGTCCTGAGAAATCCTAAATGTAAATCCTGCTCAAGGAGGTCACTAAGGACTTCCTCTTGCTCAAAGACAAAGAGAGATTTCTGCATTCCTATGTAGGCTATTTTACTCAGTGCAAACAATTTCTCTTTATTGGACCTGTATGTTTCTTCTTGGCTTCTGTTGTTCTTCTTTAGCAAATTTGTCTTTTGAATGCGATTAAGGTGGACTTCAGTCATGAGTAAGAATATGTCCGTTAGCGTTACAGTGAAGTCTGGGAGCTCATGGCTATCAAATGCAGAGTGGAAATGTTCAAAGCATTTGAACATAATCCAGCAAAATAATGGCACCAAACACAAACTGCTTAGATTTGGGTTGGCTTCCAGTTGGTTCAAAACCAAAGTCTGACATCCTTCATCTTTGAAGAACACTTTAGTATAATCTTTCAGGTTACTACTGGAAAATCCTCGAAGATGTACTTTCTTCCGGACAATATTTTTATCAATTTCTGTCCCTGTCCTGGCTGTCAGAATTTTTCTAGATCCCTTCAAAAGTTTTCCACTGAGGAGGCCCACCAGAAGAGCAAGTGGATGAATAGATTCAGTGGGAGAGCAGATTTCAGGAATACTACTGAGATCAAAATCAGAATGAATTTCATCAAATCCATCAAATGTAAACAAGACAGTATGAGGAAATTTTACAATGAAGTTGAAAACCTCCTCTTGATCCTGATCTGGGAAACAATTATACTTGAAGAGAAGATCCTTTAAACAAAACACTTCTTCTTGCTTGAAGCAGCTGAACATTCGGCATCGGAAACGAAAGAAGAATTTGGCCCCTACATCAAAGGCATTCTTGGACCAGAGATTTTGCATCTTTTGCAGTAACAAGGACTTTCCAATTCCAGCATCCCCAAAGATATAGATGGTCTCTCCATTTTCATTGATCAGCCCAAAATTGTCAATAAGTAGATCTTCTAAAGCATCCACATTACTGAGTTTCTCATTTTTATGATTCAAAAACTCCATAATATTAGCAGAATATATTTCTTCAAGCAACATGTCTTCCTTTTGGGCATATGACATGACGAACTTTGTTTCTCGGCACAATTCATCTTTAAGTTTCTGCTGGTATCTGCTGACTAAAGATAAAGCTGAGTATTATTAAATGAATTTTAATGCAGTTCACCTAACATAAAGCTTTCTAGGAGCCATTAAAATATATATACTATTAATAGATGATGTGATTTATTTAAATTGTGCTCTACTCTTTCATATTTCTCTGGAATATGTGAAAATTTTCAAAGCAGCTATGGACTTTCTCAAGGGACTGGCATCTACTCAAAAAGTAATAGTAAAATATACATGTGCTAATAAACACCAAGTATTTGATTCATAAACTTTACACATATAGACTTCCTCCACAGAAATATATTGCTGTAAATGTATGCCAGGAAATTGATGTCCCCCTCAATACACAAAGTGTAATTTCACATGCATGACATAGTCACATATTACATGTCCTAAAGGCACATTAATTTTATGGCCCTCTTTTTAAAGATTTTATAAATTATTTTTGGAAAACTATATTATTGCATATGTGCAATTGTATATGTATATATTATTGTATGTGTTTGTGCACAATTATTGATTGATTGCAATATTTAGATTTGCTTTTATTAGTGTTATTCGATTTTGTCCCAGAATTCTAAAGTTTTCTCTTCGGTTAACAATTCTTTTGATATTTTATGAAGCTGTATTAGGTTTAAACATCATTTCCCTCAGATTAACATATTTCCAACTTGCAAATTGTCACAGGATTACTTTACTCTGTCCGAACCCAATTGCAATAATAAACTATATTAAAATATCTATTATATAAAAGTATATACATTTTTCACTTACATTGCCCAGTGTGGAAAGTAAGTCTCCCAAATGTAATGGTTATAATGCCTATTGTTTTGTTTTGTGGCAAGTAGTTACAAAGAATTCAATACAATTAGTCCTTGACTTACAACAGTCATTTAGTGACTATTCAAAGTTATAATGGCACTGAAAAAAGTGATTTATTACCATTTTTCACACTTACAATCATTGCAGCAATCCGATAGTCATACAATCAAAATTCAGATGCTTGGAAACTGATTCATATTTATGACAGTTGCAGTGTCCCAGGATTATGTGAACACCTTTTGTGACCTTCTGAAAAGCAATATCAATGGGGAAACCAAATCGACTTAACAACCACTTTGCTCCTGATTTGTTTTCAACTCCATTGTTATTCCTCCTCTCTAAATCACTGAGCTCACATTTTAATATGATCCAGATTTATTCAGCCACTCAGTTCTAAACCTTTATTTTGTTTCTTTTACTTCTTAAGAACCAATTCTTACCATACTCCACTAATTTTTATTTTTCTCTTTACACATCCAACTCTCATTCCCATATAACAAATTAAGCAGGAGCATGCTTTTGTAAGCTGCCATTTTACATTTCCTTCAATATACTTTAATTTCTCACAATAAAACACATTGCAATTCGCTGCTTTTATACCAACATCTATACTTGCAGTCTGATAATAAAACATCTCCATCCATTTCCTCATTCTAAGAAAATACCTATCTGCATTTCTGTTTAACTTCCAATTGTTTACTACATTTCCCAGTGAAGCATAGAACCTTCATCTATGATAATTAATTTTCAAATCCATATCTTTATTTAATCAAACAGTCTATTGATCATTAACTTCAAATCATATATGTTCTCAGCCAATGACATGGTAGTAATAGCATAAATAGTAAATTGTTGTAGTCCAGCAGGAGCCGTTGGAGCTGCCACCAGACTCCAACAGCGAGGGGCCCTATGAGTTGGCCCTGGAGGATGTGGAGGACCCTGGACAGGGTTCCCACTCTGAGCAGGGCGCAGAGAGACTGATTGGCCACCAGGTGGCGCCTGAGCCTTGGACCAGTGGGGAGGAGACAAGGGAGAGTGAGCCAGAAACCAGCAGTGAGTTGTTCCTGGATGCACGCCGTCGAAGAGCTACTGGGTGTCAAGAACAATTACGTAATTACAGGAGGTAATTGTGCTCAGCTGGTGGTCATTAGGCTCCTCTCCAGATTATAAAAAAGACTGCTTGTGCCACGCCCTTCTTGCAGAAGTCAACGCTTGACTAAAGAGAACGTCACTAACTTGGCAGGTTGGATTGCTGCCAAGGTTTGTCTGAATTGCTGCCAAGGTTTGTCGGACTTGCTGCCAAGGTCCTTATCTGTTTGTTTGTTTGTTTGGCTTTCAGCAACCGAGATTCTGGTCTTGCTATTAAAGGACATTCTAATTAAGCTTTTCTCGGCTTTCGTTACTGGACGGAGGAGGGGGGTCAGAACAATAAATAGGACAGGTAGTCCTCAACTTGCAACCACAATTGAGCCCAAAATTTGTTGCTAAACAATTCTGTTATTAAGTGAATTGTGTTCTAATTTAGTTTAGTTTTTGTCACAATTGGTGGTGATGATGATGATAATAATAATAACAACAACAACAACAACAGGTACATTAAAGAAAGAAACAGAGTCACTAATCCTGGCTGCGCAAGAACAAGCTATCCNAGGGGGGAAAAAGTTTTTGCACTCTGCAAACCTCCCAAAAACGGCCTGTTTTTTTAAAAAAAGGCATGAATAGACTTGGGGGGGGCCTTGCAGAGCTCCTGGGGGGTGGGGTGGGGGCAAAAAACAGCCTGTTTTTTGCTTGTTTGAGTTGAATTAGAAAATATGTACAGGAACTGTCCAGGTGTTTTTCCTCTCTTAAGACAGAAAGTCATTCATGCGCAAACGCCATCCTTGGACTTTGCAATACACCGGTTAAAAGCTGGACATGGCTGCTGATAAAGGCCTGGAGAAATGGAAAATTAACTCCAATTCGGGAAGGATCTTACATTGTCCTGTTAACTACTGGGACTGAAATTCAGACTGCTGAAAAAGACTCATTACTTCTGAAAGAGAGGGCCCGTGCCAGCCCCAAAGGAGTGGAAGGTTGAGTCTCACCAAGGGGACTCACTGAAGCTGAAGTTTCAATGGACTTAATGGACTGGTGGACAATCATCCTACTGATAGGAGGGGTAATATTTGCACTCAGACTATTTTTTGTGTTTTTGCTATGTAGAGCAGAGTGGTTGCTTATGCTCTTCCCTCAACTGAAGAAAACCATGATTGAACAAATTCCATTGCGTGCCCTCCTGGATGTGTTGGTTTTGTAATTATACTTGTGTATGTTGTTCTCATTGTATCGATTGTGGTTTGGGTGTTGGATGTAAGGTATTTATATACCAATTAATCACTGGGAAATGGAACACAATATAAAGAATTTGGAATTGGAATAGATGAGGAAGGAAAAGATCCATAGCGTTGGCTAGTATTGAAAATAGAAACCACAAAACTAAAACCAATACACAAAAGTATATTTTAGTCATACTATCAAGAATTTGAAAAATTAGGATTCCCTGAATTTCCTAAGAGAATTGTAAATATGTTTGTACAATTGGCTGAAGAGATTGGTGGGGGGGGGGCGGACATCTTACGGTAAAGAACTGTTTTAGGTGTGGAGGAACAAACATGGGAGAACTGTGGCCGTGGGAAGCACATGAATTAAACCACGATACAGTGGTTGAGATGTGGAACAATGAAACTTTAAAATTTACAAAAGGCAAGAAGGGGACTTGGGTTTTGACAACGAATTTTGTAGGAAAAGTGTGTTATGAGCGAAGAAGGAAACAGAAAGGTAGCAGTAGGAGATATTATTTGCCTAACTGTATGGAATAACAACAATTGGTGGGGAGGAAATGGGACTATGAAAGAAGAGGAAACACTAAGTCAAATAACTGAAATGCCTTAACTGAAAGATCCTGAAAGTGATAGCCTGGAATGGTATGTATTGAATATGTAGAAAGTATGCCATATTNCTTATTCACTGTTACATTGTCTGTGCATGTTTTAATGTATGAGAGTACAGTGTCAGTGAATTCTTGCAGCTCCAAATGTTCACATATGTTCCACTTAGTAGTCTCAAAGCAGTCCTGCAATTGGCAGGAGCAGTTGTTAAGTGAATCATGAAGATTCCAAGTCAATCTTGCTTCCCTTATTGACTTTGCTTGTCCAAAGCCAGCTGTGAGGATTACAAACAGTGGTCACATGATCCCAGGAAAGTACAACTGACCTAAATACACGCCAGTTGCTGAATGCCAGAATTTAGCTTATGTGATCATGGGGATGCTACAACAGTGGTAAATGTGAAAAACAATCATGTCATTTTTGTCAGTTTTGTTACAACTTTAAAATGGTCACTAAACAAAGGGTTGTAAGTTGAGATCTACCTGTATATCCTCGCTTTTTAACTAGTCTTGGCTTTATCCTGATAGTTTTCTATGTTATATTATCACAATCACTACCACCATCAACATCATTATGCTTTGGTTTCTATATTGAAAAAGTTAATTTTAAAAATTAAAAGAAAAAGAGAAAACTTTCCTAACTGGATGTCTTACCTGGGTCAGTATTTTCCACAGGTTTGCTACAAATGACTTCTGATGGGTGGAAGCCAATCTCCTCCAACCAAGGATGTAAGTCATAGTAAGCATCACCAGCTTGTTGCAGGACATACAGGCAGTACTCTGCAACTTCCTCACCTTTACTTTGGGCTAGATCCAGAATTTTACGGACCTTAAGGAAAGATCAGATAAAGTCTCAAGCATATTTAGGCTATTTGTAACTATTCACTGAACCACCATCATACATGGTGAAATTGCTTGGTGCTACAAATGGCTATAACACAGAACAAATCTACATTCATTCTACATAAATGTTAATATAATTACAATTAATAAAATTACAATTAATGTAATTAATTGTCCCTGTATATTTAACAATCTCCTAACAACATCCAATACAATCTGGTGATAAGTTTGAAGTTACATTAAGACCAATGAAACACCTAATCCAGGAAATACAAGTGATGTACCTCAATGTCTGGAGGAATACTATTTTATTACATATACACATGTATTTATAATGGGTCATGAAAGTCTTTATGTGTTCACTATTATCTATAGAAGCTTCCATGTGATCTGGAATATGATGATTGAAAGTTTCTAGAATCAAAGGAAGCTTCCATATTTCATTTGAGGAATTCAAATTGTACTTGTCCATAGAAGTGCAGAATTCAGAAAGGGAGAAGATGGCAACCAGCCCAATCTGTTTATTTCTATATATTTTATGTCCTTAAGCAAGTAACAATACAAAGGGCTATGTAAAATAAACAAACTCTTTTACTGAATATTAATAGGATATTGCTAACATTGACAATATAAATGCATTGTCACAAAAAACAAAAGAAATCTGAAGCCAGCAAAATATTCCTATGCATGTTTCTTGATAGATAGCAGCAAGTTTTGAAGCTTCAAATGCTGCTTAACTGGTTCATCAAGCAGATCAGCCAGAACCTTCTGGAAACGAATAATTATTAACTACAGAAACAGCTCAAAGATCATCAGATTCTGAAGGAACTAATTCCAAAAGGTGAGGGGAAAGCATTTAAAAGGCCACTTTTATCCAGAAGTTCAAATTTTACCTCTCATTGTTTGAATATTGTCTTTCCATCCAGATTATTGTTGGAATGTTGAGTGAAGGAAACATTCTGAGACCCCAGGACCAGGCAACTCCGTGCACAGACCCAGGTAAGAAATTTTTGCCCCGAAGGATGGAAACATGCAATTGTACCTGGGTGGTCAGGAGAGTGATTGTGGGAGGTTTTTCAATGCTGAACACAGGTTCTGGGAACACTAGTGAATTCAGAGCGAATGCAGTCCCGAAAGGTTGTGGTTTCTTACTCCCACAAGGGGGAAGGCCAGCCTGAAGGGAAGCGGACTGGTGCATGGATTTAGAGTGGCCGTAAAATTGAAAAAACCATAGTCAGGGAAACTCTCAAGAGAATGGGGAATAGTTATAGTTGTTGTGTTAAACCTATAGTTAAGTAGTTTTGAACTACTGTTTGGAACCGCTGATCTACAGGGTGGGGAGGAATTAGGGCTGTGTTAGCCCACCGGGACACGTTAAAAAGTTGTCTTTAAAAAGAAAAGTGGAGTTCAAACTTGTGCGAGAGCTCTGGCCAGATGCAAATGAGGTGTGAAGGTCTCTATACATCTTCATCTTTAAAGAGAAGTCTGCTGGGAGATTCAATATAGATAGATAGGTAGAGCGGAGTCAGGATTTTACACCCAGAGCAGAAATATGAATAATCAGTGCTTGAGGAGATAGAACAATGGGTTTAATTTTGAGTAAAAGTGAAAAGTTACTAAAACAATTAGGAAGAATCCTGAATTGTAAATAGACCCAACTAGTCCTTTAGGAAAAATACTTAGAGGTTGGGAAGCCCCTCCATACGTTGGGCTGACCAAACAAGTTATGGTTAGCTTATGCTGTTATGTCTGGTAGGAAGATCTAGGAGTAGAAAGAAAGAAATACTGCAGTATTATAAAGATCTTGACAATTTATCATTCTCAAAAGAGCCAGAAAACTCTGAAAGAACTAAGAATAAAGAAGAAAAGGTTTATTCTTTTTTTTCCCACCTGGGGTTTAGCAGGTAATAAAAAAGTAAGCCCTATCTAAATGGGAGGACTCTGATAATTTGACTTGATCAATTTGAAGTGGTTTCTGTTAATACTTAGATGTGCATCTATAAAAATAGTGGGTAGAATTGAATGGGATAAAATTGATTGTGATATGTTTGGCTAGTTGACAAATTAAATAACCTTTTCAGCTTGGGCTTAGAGCTATGGGAAACAGGCAGTGTTTAGGGCCCCAAATCACATTTTTGATTAAAATTACTTCCTGAATGTTCCTATTGCTTGAAGAATGAGCTGCAGATTGAACAAAAAAAGAGGAGATTTTGTCTCCACAGGGTGGATTTTTTTTATATAAGTGAATGTGTGTGTTTGTGTGTAATCATTTCTAGACCTGAAATAATTGTAATGATTGGTTTGCATGAAATGGGATTTTTTACATGTGAAATTGGTTTACACAAGCAGTTTGATTGCAGTGCAAATGTTGAGAGTAAAAAGTTGGTGTGAATGTACTCTGATTTCCTTTTGTTTAAAGAAACTGAGAAAATTATTTTGTTGAGAGAATGCAGAGGGGGGAAAGGAGGGAGATTCGTGTGTGGTCTATTACATTTTTTTCCCTTGTCCTGTTAATTCAAGGACTTTTTTTCCTCTTTGAAGAGCAAGTAGCAGGAAAGAGGGGAAGTGCGGCTTTTCTGCTTCTTTTAACAATTTTTTTTCCTTTCCTCTTCTGTTTGAAAAAGGAGGGGCAAATGGGTGAAGTATTCATGTAGTTTTGCCTTTCATTGTTTTGGTTTTCTTATATTTTCTTTTCTGCTCTGAATATAATTTTGATTTTGTTATTTCTGGGAAATTTTTGAGGTTTAAGATGTTAAATTAAACCTACCATAAGACGCACCAGAGTATAAGACGCACCAAGGTTTTGAAGAGGCATTTTTTTTTAAAAAGTAGATAGGTAGATAGAGGAATAAAGAAGGAGAGAAAGAGAGAGAAATACAGTAGGTAGGGAGAGAGAGAGAGAGAAGTTAGGTAGGTAGGTAGGTAGGTAGGTAGGTAGGTAGGTAGGTAGGTAGGTAG